TACCGCAAATTGCACACATCTTATCTTTGACTGCATCCATACCGAAGGGGGGTTCATACTGCTGCATACTGGTTTGCTGCTCTTCAGCCTGGGATGGTACTTCCAAATTATTATCTGAATTCGATGAAATCTCTTCAAATAATTTTTCAGTATCGTTAATATTGAAATAATGATTATTATATTTTTTTAAATATTTTTTTTTTATCCCCTTTTCCAAAGCAGCTTGCAAATCCTCAATAAGCGAAACCCTCTTCCTGCCTGGTCGGCGTGAAACAAACTCTGACAGGTCTTCTATTGTTGCAGGGGCGCCATAATCACTTAATATTTTTATTATTTTTGGCTTGGTAATTGGTGCCATGTGTATCGGCCCCCTAGATACTAAAAAAGTTTAAACTTTATTTAATATTAAAATATATTTGCAATCTAATGTAATTATATATACATATAATAATATTTATAAATAAATTCATATTTTATGTACTCATAAATAAAGATAAATATTAAAATTTTATGCACTCATACTAAAAAATAAAAATAAATAATTTAATATACTTATAAAAATTCGTTAATAATTTTTTGAGACTGCATCTATCTAGTATTGAACTCGTATCCCATCAAATTTGAAGCTTAGAGTCAGTGTTGATTAGCCAGCCAAGTGACCCAAAGTGACGAAAGTAAGTCTTTTATTTATAAAAAGTATTGACAAGGTACGAGTTTAACCTTCAATACTAAAAAATTAATTACGAACAAACAAATATAAAAAATAATTCTAAAAAGACCACTGATGATGGACATTCAACCATAAATGCAATTATTTAAAAATAATCAAATTTTATTGTTCTGATTCATGACTGTCAGAAAAATGCGACCCTATGCCCACTAGGAAAAATGGACACTAAGAATGTTAGAAAAACCTTATTGAAAACAATAATTTATATTAAGACAATATTTTTTTTATCGACATTAAACTGAACTGACGTTAAGAATCAAATTTAATACTTATACAAATATAATTATAATTTCTATAAACAGTCCTACTAACCCGCGTTCTATGGATGTTGAAACACCGGTCGTTGAAGTGGACGAAATTATCGTATATTATCTTATCAGGTGAATAATAGGAACTGACAATTTAATATTTAAGTCAATACATTACGATGGATTCTAAATTCTACATAAATATTAAACAAAGTAATTTGAAACGAAAACTTACCAGAAACCCAATTAACAATTTGATATCAGCAGGGACTGTGATGAATTTCTATTCAATTGAATCCAGAGAAGAGAATATCTAAATCTGAATGAAAAAATGTGTTAGAATTTTCAAACTAAAATTTTATAAAAATTTTTATAAAAGAAAATTATTTGACGTTTACTTTAAAGTTTTGTGATTTAAATAGTAATAAAATTTTATTATGTTAAAATTCGCAGAACATATCTTTTGGTTGAACTAAAACCCCAATAAATAATTTATTATTATAATAAACAAAAGACGTTGTGTACAAAATCTGACGGGTCGCCATCTAGCGGCAAGTGCTATATGAAATTAATTTATATACATTGCTCGATATAGTGAACTTTATAAAAATCTGTCTTCTCGTTGAAGTACGTATATATCTGAATCAAAAATATTTACATATTTTAATAATAATTATGGTATGTAAATAAAAAAATGCCTTTTTATTAATAGCCACTCACCCAATTACCAGAGTTAACAGCCTAATTAAAACACCAATCGAAAGTTACAAAGAATCTTCAAATTTTCTCTACTCCGATTTTATGAAACACAACCAGTGTAAATAATTTAATAATACATATAGTTTGTTTTATTTCTCAGCTTATTTAACAAATATGAAATGACATTCATGGCAAAGTGATTGAAAAAAATTATTAATTTATTTACTTTCGTAGAAATTTTTAAATTTACATGTCATAAATCAACTATTTGTGACTATAATTAAACTATATATCAAATTGTATACAATATATCCGGATTTAATAGCCCATGCAGGAATTAAAAGAAACGAACTAGCAGATCAAGCTGCTTCTGCCGCCATTCGCTCTCCCTTGTTCTTATTCAGGACATCCGAAAGAAAATAAATTTTAAAATTTATAAACAAACATATGGAAGACGAATGGGCTATGGAATGGTCAGAGTACAACCATCACTACAAATCGATCAATACCAGTGGTTTAAAAGCTATATATCCACTACTATGCACTCGTCAACAATGTAAGAGTTTTATCCGATTGCGAATGTGACATTCAAAGCTTTTCCATGAACATGTTTTGAGTGGCGATCAGCCATCAAACTGTCGATTCTGTAATAGCACACCATCCACAGATCATATACTTAACGATTGCCCTTCTTTTAATTCTATTCGTAGTAATATCTTTCCTAATATCTTACCTAAAATTTAATTTATAATATCCGAGCTGAAGGCTCTTGCAGCTTTCGCTACCAAAATTGATTTAGTAGCGATACTTTATGAGTTGGATTAGTGCATTTATATAGTTTTTTGTATTACCAACTGATTGTAGACAGCACAGTTAGATCCCGTTTCTGCGATTTAAAACCTTTGAAATTTGTTGATATTAATAACCATAAGTTCACCAAGATTTATAAAGACTACCTTATCTAGGGTACTTGCTTTTTGCTTCCAAAGAACAAGTCATATCTCCAGAGAAAATGTGAAATAGTTCCTTTTTCCTCTATCTGATTCTTATATTAGATGGATATATATTTTAATACTTATTTTTAACTTATATAAATAAAGTACATCAGTAAACTACAGAAAAAAACACGACTTTCATAGTTTCCAGAAAAAATGTGCGAACATAAAAGTTGGGTACGGCTTTGAGTCAATTGTTTAAGGAGCGCTGACTCTGAGCTTCAAATTTGACAGGGTACGACCTCGATTCCTGGTACTTGCATTCTCAAAAAATTATTTATGTATTTGGCAATACTCGAAA